TGTGTATCACATCAGAACAAACCAAATCCTCTGCTATCTGCCCATCCTCTTGGAGCAGAAAGCTGTATCTTGATCCAGTGCAACAGCTGGTGAGGGCCAACTGCTCCCTGTGTGGTCCGCACCTGAACCTCTGTGGTACCAGGGGTCCTTGTCCATCACATCGTAAGCTCTTAATAAGCCATTCTTTGGGTATGAGCTTTTATTGTAGAGTTAGCTAACTAATCAAAATGAAGCAATTTATAATGACTCATTTAAGCTTATAGTCTGTTTCAGAATTATCCTAAGTGACTTTGTGGACCTGGTAGCCAATTACCCTTCAATAAATTCCTCTTTCATTTTCTCAGATGAAAATAATCATTCCCCCTCAACTTGATCCATTTCTACTTAGGATACTTACCAGTAGTATTTCTACCATTTATTATGTTCTTTTTTGCATGTATGTTATGCCTTTACTATAATCTGTTGAGGACAAAACATGCTGTGATTTATGCTGTAGAAATTTATTGGATTTCATTCTGAGTACTAATGCTTTTTTAAATTTGGAAAATATAAAAACATTAAATGTCATGGGATATAACTAACACTAGCTAAGAGAAAATGTGTGGCAGTAGAAAACATACATATTAGAAAAAAATCCGAAGTTATCTAAAAAAAAAAATCTCAATTTAGAAAAAGCATAGTAAACTAAACTCACAATAAGCTCAGGGCATTGCAATAAAACCAGAAAAGAAATAAAAGTCAGAATATGTTTTTGTGTAAGGATAGTGACTAGAAATGCTAAAAGAGGGCTTCTGACTAGTCTGTCTTATTCTTAGGTTGTTTATACAGCAGTGTTGACATTCTAAAATTATATGGAGTTTTCTATATATAACTTACCATATATATTCATGTTTAAGCCAAGTTTTTCAGCACATTTTTTAAAAATCATTTTATCAGGGGCTCATACAACACTTTTCACAATCCATACATACATCAATTGTGTCCAGCACATTCGTACATATGTTGCCATCATCATTCTCAGAATACCTGCTTTCTACTTGAACCCTTGGTATCAGCTCCGCATTTTCCACTCCCTCCCCGCTGCCCCCTCCCTACAGCACCCTTGATAATTTAAAAATTATTATTATTTTATCATATCTTACACCATCCAACGTCTCCCTCGCCCACTTTTCCGCTGTCCATCCCCCAGGGAGGAGGTTATATGTAGACCTTGTAATCTGTTCCCCCTTTCTCCCTCACCTTCCCTCCACCCTCCCGATATCGCCACTCTCACCACTGGTCCTGAGGGGTTCATCTGTCCTGGATTCCCTGTATTTCCCATTCCTATCTGTCAGTACATTTTTTAAATGCAGTTTTTGTGGTAAAATTAGGTGCCTGATTGGGGTTGGCTTATACTCGAGTATATAAGGTACATAACTTTTAATCTTCTATTAAAGACTAAGTAAAATGTTTTAAACATGTAATATTGCACCTACATATATAACTATCACTAATAGTTGTATCACTAATAGTGTATGTTTATTTTTTATTAGAGAACATTTAGAGAGTTTCTAATTTTTTCTCTCACATATAATATTATAGTGATATATTTTGATTCCCTGTCTTCACATGTGAGTGAATGTTTATCAAGCAGTTGAGATTGAAGAGTGAAATTGCTGAGTCATGGTATTGACCACATAGGTATCATGAAATTGTCTTCCAAATTGGCTATTCCAATCATACTCTGCCATTGCAATTGCTGTTTTCATTCAACTTATTTATAAGCATCTTTTGTAACAATTACTTTTAATATCTGCATATTTTGATGCAGTATTTTTTTCATTTTGAATAAACAGTAGGGGTCTCCTCTTCTGAATTTTATTTAAGAATATTTTGTTGTGCTCATCTGTTACCACATCATCTCTGTATATGCAAAAATACCAAAATGACATCATATATGCAATAGGCACTTAATAGTCACTGAATGAATGAAAAGAATACCTTCTTATAAAGTTCTTTAAAATGCTTTTGATAGAGTACGTCTATTGTATTACCCCTTTCTTGCCAATTCTCCGTTCTTCTGCATCAGTGTTACTTATTACGTGTTTACTCAAGAGAAGAGCAAAACAGAACATTGATTTCAAGTCAGTTCCAACTCATGGTGACCTCACATGTTACATGTTAAAATTGCTTCTTAGGAGTTTATTGGCTGCAATCTTTATGCATACAGGCCTTTCTTCCACAGAGCTAATGGGTGAGGTCAAGCAATTATAAATTGCCTGTATCATCTGGGCATTTGCTACCCCACGAATGAGCTTTCTCCCTGTTCACCAAGATCTCTTTTCTGTTGCCCGATCTTACCCTACTCCTTCTGGCTCTCAGCTTTTGTACTAAAAATTACCTGTTCTCTCTGTCATCTGTGCTGATTTTTTAACCCATTGATTAATTTCGCAAAGTAACTTATAGCACGGCGGTACCACCAATAAGTATTGAGTATCTAAGGAGCCCTGGTGGCACACCAGTTAAACTGTTAGTTGAAATCAATTCATCAGCACACAGAAACAACAGAGGAGCTGGGGTTGTGAAATGAGTTGCCCGTAGGGCTGCTAACTGCGCGGTCAGCAGTCTGAAACCACCAGTTGCCCCACAGCAGAAAGATAGGCTTCCTGCTCCCAGAAAGATCTTCAGCCTCAGAACCCGCAGGGACAGATCTGCTCTGTCCTGTAGAGTCACTATGAGGCAGAATAGATTTGATGGCAATAAGTTTTGAATTGAGAGAAACAAAAACAAAATTGAGTACCTGCCATCTGATAGATAGCAAGTAGTTGCTTTCAGTAAATACCAGTGTTAACTTATCTAGGAAAAATAGGAATTTCATATATTCTAGTTTTTGTTAATTTCTTTCTGAACATCCTGCTTTTTATGCAAGTTTCAATAAAAGCTATCACACATTTTTAAGATTGTAAGAACATAAAGATATGTACTGGGTAATAAGATAGTGTTTTGAGTTCATAATACTAAGTGACTTAGTCTCCTAAATTCTCACTAAAACAATTTGGATTGAATATACAGATTTGTTTTGCATATTAGAACATAAAGTCTAGATTTGGACTATGTGCTGATATAGTTAATATGTTTATTTAATGGTTATATTTTCTATATTTCATTCACTGCATAGCTTACTAGAAGTGCTCGCTGACCATTTAAATGCAGAGATTGCCGGAGGCACAATAACTTCTAAGCAGGATGCAATGGATTACATCACCTGGACATACTTTTTCCGACGTCTTGTCATGAACCCCAGGTAAATAGAAGACTTCTTTGAAGGGCAGCTACCCACCAGCTAATTCTCAGGAAAAAAGATGGGGCTTCTACTCTTAACGTTTTATAGCCTCATATAAACACAAAACCGGGCGGTTCTACACTGCCCTATATGATCACTGTGTGTTGGAATTAACTTGATGGCAGTGGGTTTTGTTATTTTGCTCAGGGGTGGGAGGGGGGAGAATGTATCAAAGTAATTAGATTCTCAATTAAGATGCATACAAATAAAGTTCAAACTTGGCACATTTTAGATAGATAAATTTGCCCAGGAAGTCAGATGTTGTCTTCAATATGATCACAATATAGTGAGTACTTTTATGTGTTTATAACTTAGTCGATTTTTATTATTTTAGGATATCTTCAAGGAGCTTGCTTTGGTACTGGGAAGACATAACATCGCAAGTTAGCAAAGAAAGGGCTAAGCTCTGTGGTAGTGGGTGACCACAGTGCAGAAGGAGTTCAAAGAGGCGTGAGGTTAGTGAAGTTGTAGTGGGAAGAACCCAGGAGTCTTCTGTGTGGGCTAATAAGACCACTACACTAGGAAACAAAATTGGTGAGTGGTGCAGTGTCTTTCATTCCAGTCTGAGTAGCTTAGGTCTTCATTCAGATCTACTGTTTCAGGCATTATGCCACACAGAGGCATAAACATGAGTATACCAATCCCTGTCTTCAAGGGCTGATCTTTTAAAAGTGGAAAAAGAGATGTAGAAATCATTACAATGTAAATCGTAAGAGCTGTAATAAAACTGTATAAAAGCTGTGAGAGGGAAGGCTTCACAGAAGAGGTGATACTTGAGTCAGACAGGAACAAGTACAGAAAGGGTTGAAGAAGGCACATTGAACAGAAATACTATATGTGCCCAGAGCGTCAGGGCTTGAGAGAGCCCTCAGTGTCTGGAGAATGCCACACTGTTTGTTGTAGCCAGACCTTAAGCAGTGGAGGGATAAGATCGGAACCTGAAAGTAGGCCACGTGCGGGAATGAAAGGGCCTGCACGCTGTGCCGATGGGTTTGCAACCAGTCCTATAGGCTGTGATGAACCGCTAGAGGCTTTTAAATGCAAATTAACATTGCCAAATTGGGTTTGGTTTGATTTCATTTTAACATACTGGTATGGTAATGAGTTGGAATGGGAAAATAATTACAGCAGGAAAACCAGTTCATATGTTCTTTAATAGACTGGATAATGATATGGAATTAAATAGATATGGTGGGAATAAAACGAGGAACCAAAGTTAAGGGACAGTCCTATAAAAGTAAAGGATACAGTAAACTAATGTAAGCTATTAAAGAGAAGGATCGTGGTGAAAATGTTATTACTGCTAAATCTTACCCGTTAGTACCTTAAAGACCTTTTTCCCGTCCTAGATTTCCACTTGCTTAGATGAGAATTGTTGGGGATTTGATAAGATTTATGATTGCTGAGAAGCTCTGAATTAGGGACAAAAATCCCTTTTGGAATGTGCTCACATTATCAATGAAATAGCCGCTCAACTCCTCATGATTTGCACAGTTGGAGGATTAGAATCATGAAGTCTTCTAGTGGGTCCTTTATATGGACTCTGTGTGGACGTTTTATGGACTCTGAACAATAAGTCAAATCTTATTGCTTAATATTGAAGAGATGGGGGCTAGGAATCCTAAAGTGCCTTGTCCTAGATCTCAGAACAATTTCACTAATTTGTTTTAAAGCCAGGACTGAAAAACCTAACTCTTCCAATTCATAATCCAGAACTCTGCATTCCTTCATCCCCTGCCCTTCACTTCCTCACTCACACCTCCCTTCTTCTATGCCTTCCTTCCTTCACATTGGCATGTAAATGTTGATCACTATAGATATATGCCGTAATTTTACATCTTAACAAAATGATCACTAGGAAATTATTGTTTACATTTTCTTAACCCTGAGAGTGAGATGAGGCAAAACCACAGTTAAGAAGACACCACTGAGAAAAACTGTAATAGGCTTCTCTCCCTCGCCTCCAGTTAAAGAGACCATGAAGAATATTATGGTGAGAAAATTCCCATGCAATTGTAATAAACAGGAGCCAAATAAGAAGCACAGTAGATAAAAGGAGGAAATTTTAAATTAATGAAATTTTATTCAACCTAGGATCCTGAGCACTTCTAGAGTTTAGACAGCTTGGACATGCTTCTTAACATGGCACTGTTGTTGTGGGCGATTGTGTTGATTCTGACTTTAGCCACACTGTAAGACAGTGTATCTGCCTCTTAGGGTTGCCTAGGCTATAATCTTTATGGGAAAGAGCCTTGGTGTCACAGTGTTTAAATACTTGCCTGTTAACCCCAGGGTCAGCCGTTTTGAACCCACTAGCCATTCTGTAGGAGACATATGTAGCAGTCTGCCTCCTTGAAGCTTCTTCAGCCCTGGGAAACCTGCTGGGCACCTCTTCTCTTCCTAGTCCTACATGTTTGCTGACTC